ACCAGTGAGATATATCCCATATTGTGCTTAGCATCATTGTTTCCTAATTAGAAGTATCATGGTTTGGCTTCCATGTGTTAAGCAAGCAGTCCATACTCCAAAACACCTATTAACAGTAGAACTTTAATCACAGCTTTTCTTTCATTAGAATCACTGCTTTGGTTGTCCAGCTATAATGAAATGTGTAGGAATGTCACTTTTCTCTAAGAATTTTTTTTCCATCTTTCTTAAGTTGATTAAAAAGTAGTCAAGTTGTTAAGCAAGACATCACAGTTGCAAAAGTTTCTTTTCCTTAGGCAACTGGGCTAAGCTGTGTCATACAAACTTCCCCAAACTACCAGAATGCTGTTTCAGAGATCCTGGAAATTCTGGTCTCTGTTAAAGTCTCTCACCTGGGTACTGTGTGTTGTAATGCCCATTCAGAGGGAAGGCATTTGTTGCATGCCAATCCATTAAGTAACTTGGAAATTAGGTAAGAATAAGGGTACCAATGTTTTATTCCTAATGATAGTTTAAGTTCTGTGTTTTTTCTGAAACCCACAAAGTAATGATTCTTTGAAGGATTGCTGCATCTTTTGTCATCTTCTTTTTTTATGATTAATAAATGTTGGAGAAGTCCCTCAGAATTAATTCTTATTCAGCAGTTTTTATCAAAGCTTCTGTATATCTGAGCAGAGAGTTCACAGTTTCTGGATTTGCAAGACTCCTTTGATTATCTGACTCCTTTGATAGCACTTCTAGACACCCTAAATAATGCAGCATAGCTATAAAAGCTGCCTAGGAACAACCAAAGCAGCAGCATAAACCAGGATTTCTATAATACTATTTTAAATTATACCAACTACCACTTTCATCCTGCTAGTCTGCTAAAGTAAGGCAGCATTTTTCCACTTTTGCTCTAGGGCTGAAACCCAGGTCATATTCTGTGCTCGATGCCAGACTTTGTAGAAGGCAACCAGCACAGCCTGTTTCAGCCAACCAGTCTTGTGAAAACTGGCTGCTGTCTCTTGATTCAGTTTTGGTTTGGACAAAGGTGAACACAGCAGTGAGCTCAGGCATGGAAAATGTAGCTCATATTCATTGAATTAATATGAGAGAATCGAAGAGTCTGTATGAGACTGTTGTGTGTATCTGTATTATATAAATTCTTTAAAAAATTCAACATTAAATATTTTATTAAAAGGGCTAAATTCATCCATAACTATTAAATTCTCCCATCAAAAGTGGCTGATATGATTTATGGTCATGTTTAGTAATTGAGAGTCTGAACACTTGCACTAACTGTTACACCAAGGATGCCGAAAAAGTTATAAATACATGGAGTTTTATTTGGAGGGGTCCAGTGTTGATTTCCTAGGTATCCTACTACTTTTTAGAGTCAAGCGCTTGAGTGTAAGCTGAATAAAATCACTAAAAGTGCATAAGTAAGACCTCTGGTGATTCTGTCCCTCACCATTTTGTGTATGCTGGTGTGTTCACTTCAGCTATTTTGTTAGTCCTGGTCTTGCTGGTCTATAACTGAACTGTATTGGATTTCATGTAGAGACATAACTTAGAGAGACGGCTTACTAGGAATATAATACAGGAAATTTTCACCAGGTTGGCTTATATTTGATTTGGACATATTCATAAAGCTAGTAGCTGTTGAAAAGAAATTGTTTCTTTCAAGTAGCTTAGTCTTAAATTAGAGTATTTCTGTTTGATTATTAAATAAAATGAAGACTCCTGGAAAAAATATTGTCTCAAATAGCTGACTTCTCACTTCTTACTGTCATATGTGGTTTTCATTTTGCCAGAAACACAAAATCATTTATTTAGGATTTCTGTTAGGACCGAGTTTAGATTTAGTTTTGTGTTTATTACTACATTGAATTTTGAAACCATTGAGTATCATTTGCAGATGTCGCTTTTATATCTGGGTATCTGCAATAAAAGAAATTACCCTATTAAATACTTGTACATTATGCTAACTATTGGACATTAATATGTGATTAGACTTGTCAGAGGTTTCTGAGCTGTGTGGTAAATAAACCAAAGTCAAGACTTTTTGCATTTCTTTAGTTTTTGAGATGGGACTTCATATATTTATTTACTCAGTTTCAGTGTTGTTTAATTTCTCTGAAATAAATTCATACCCATATTACTGGGTCTCATGTCCTCTGTCCCAAGAAAAGCTTTATAGTTATTTTGGTAAATCACATCCATATGCTAACAGAGGTTCTACGTTGTTCTCACACATGTGAATAACTTAGGCCCAAACCAGCATCATCTCATGTTTTTTCACATCAGTGGTCACAATAAGGCTTTTGAGGGCTGGCTGCTATGGGAAAAATAGGTCACTGTACATGTGCTGTCTCCAGCAGGTAATAGTATCTCCTGTGATGGAAAGAAAGCAGGGAATTAGATTAGGCTTCTATTTCAGATTTTCACAGACACCTGCCTGGGCTAATAACTTCATAAGAAGTCCCCTATTGGGTTCTTAAGCAAGTTAAAACTCTGTTCAGTATGAACTGAACAGATACTACTATGTAGGAATAAAATAAGCATATTTGGAGAGCATTCTTCAAGTGAACCTATGTGAAACTATACTGTTTTTACAAAGCATAACATTTCAATAGGTAGCTGCAATCACAGAGTCAGAAAGCTAGGGCTTTGGAGCTGCATGAGATTTTATTCTTAATCTTGATGGGCAGTTTAAGCTGCTTTTGAAGTGTTACGTAGTTAACATAGAAGAAAACCTGTCTAGAGAAATGTAGTTGTGATCATGAAATCACACAATAAAACATTCATTAATATACCTTGATGTTTGATTTCAAAGTGTTTGCTTTACTGCATGAATTATTTGTTCTCTATAAAATCTTTAAGCTTTTTCTGCACTTAAAATGATAAGGTGTGGTAATGGTATTGTGAGAGAATGTTTTAGAACTTTCACTTTTTAAACATTTTAAACATTTAAAGACTGCTGAAAGTCATACTACTCCTGGCCTTGGAAAACATATAAATCTGAATTGATAGAGAAAGTTCTTTTTCCCCTTTAAGTTAAGAAGTTAGACTTCTTATATCTAATGTGTGTTCTTGGCAAAATTGGTGGTCTTTAATTAAAATATGCCATTCCAAAGGCTCGATCATAATTAAGTAATCCATGGCCTTCTGTAATGTTCCTTTCTCTGATGAATTTCACCCTGAATGTTAATGCAGTAAAAGAAGACAGATTAACAACGTTTATCCTAATGGTGTGGAATTCATAAGTCTCTCTTTGGGGCAGTTAACTACTGTGTTGCTTCATTTCTTTCTAGATATATTAGCTTGAACTTGGCCTTTTGTCTCCTTCAGGGGACAGTCTCCATCCAGGGGTTTCTTCAACATACCGTCCAAGTTCAGCTTATCACTATGAATAATTATTAGCAAAATCAGTCTGCTTTTGATTAGTTTTCAATACACTTTTTTATTAGATGCATGTCATATCTCATAAACTCAAGACAGGTTATTTCTCAGTTATCCAAAATGATTATACTTCATGAAGTAGCTTTGTATCTTAGGCTATTACTAAACCCAACTTAGTTTAATAAGCTCCATTTACCCTAGCATCCTTCATGTACATACTGATGGAAAATAAACATCATGATGTTTGTTTTAAGAAAGATTAGTGAAGCACCTGAAATCATGTTTTAATTTTGGGCACTTAACAAATTCTTCTTGCCTTGAGAATTAGCACATCTCACAGAGGCCTTATTTCCCCTTACTTTGTTTCTGTTTTATTTACATTGCATTAACAGAAAGGAATGGAAGAGCACAGATTATAGTTAAGTATATTACTGAACCATGACAACTGCCACTCTTGAAGGGAAATCAAAAGCACATTTTGCATTTAGGGGAATTTAAAGGTATATGACATTGCTGTTATCCTTTACTATCCTGGTGTGGTATTATATATGTACCATCTGCAGTTCCATAACACTAAATATTTAATGAGTCCATGAATATTAGATAAATATTTAATACAATTTTGTAGAAATATGCGAGCATTGAACAATTGTTTGTCACTACCAAAGAAAATGGCCTGATTTGAGGATATGATTATTCCAGTTCACAGATCAAATAGCTTCTGTGAAATCTGACCTGAGATAGGAGAATGCCGGAGTTGGAAAAGGACTGATTATTCAAAGTGTGAATTACTCAGGCTTTGGTTCCCCTGTTAGTCCTACCAGTGAGGCATTTACTGTTGCATCTCTTGTGTGGCAGCAGTAGTTGGGTGGCTGTACAGGTTTCTGCTCAAGCTATGCTTGTCTCTCTTCTGACAGACTTTATCTTCACGTCTTGCGTGGTCCTCCCTCTTGATGCCATTAAAATGAAAGAGAAATACTGAGTTTATTCATGAATTTATTTAAAGCATTTGCCTAGAGCATTTGCAGCCAGATAGGCTTCACAGAGTTTCCAAATATTAAATGGATTCAGTGTCAAAAAGCAGAAATGATAGCAAAACAGAAATCTCACTTCTTGGTGTCTTAATAGTCTGTAGCTTCAAATAAAATTTCATGAGAATATCTGCCTTGCATATAGGTCATTCAACAATCTTCTTATAGAAGGAAAAAAGTAATAAGAGAATAAAGAAACTTCACATGTGACCAGATCCTTTCCTTAGCTTGAGAATTGATAAATAGCTAATTCTTCAATATTCCTTTAAAAATGTGTCTTTAAATATATTCTATTTTAAGTAAGTATGAGCCCCAGATGTCCATGAATTTCAAAATTTGATGAGTCAGTGGCCATTGCAGCGTACAAAACTGATGTGTGGGGGTACGTTTGCATAAATATGTGTCAGTACAAATATAATCTATGCTTCAGTTGGCCTCACAGTATCGTTATATGCCTGTAGGGAAAAACATTTCCTTAAACATAAGGAAATTCTTTTTTCAAGAAAAGCTGTTTGCTATAATTTTTACATTAAATACTGCAGTTCTATCTTCTGAAAACTTCTACTTTCTTTTTTGTCTGTTTAGAAAGGAGGTCTGAAAGTGCATTGGGGAAAAAACACAACCCATAATTCCTTTGTGAAGTGGTTAAGAGCCATTCCTCATAAGAAATGGGATGAGGTACTGCCATAAATTCATGTGATTCACAATATGTTGTGAAATGCAAATTCCTTTGCTTATCCTTCCTCCCTGGAACAGTCTGCGCTACTTTATGTACTTCACTAGCATTGCTCTGACTGACCCACAGCTATAGAGGAGATGCACCATGGTGCAGTTTTGAGTATTTGGAGAATAATGTCTTGGGGAAGCAGTTTGAGGACTCTATTGGTCACACACAGATTTATTGCTAGTTAACTTTAAAGAGAAAATCTACCTAAGGACACTTGTAAAAGCACAGGAAGTTAAGAGTTAAAATGTCAATACTGGACAGTAAACATCTGCTTTATTTAATATTTTAACAAAGTAGCTTTGAACTGGTGAACTCTTCCTGTTAATCTGAGATCTCTTGCCCTCTCAAACAAAGATGAAGCTTGGTTTTTGTCTTTAAGGTGGCTACTCACTTTGCTTTTAGCCATTTCTATCCCCTCTCTGGAAGCAGAGCAGGTATATAACAATTGTCTCTTACTAGGTTTTTAATGTCCATGTAACATTTCCAGAACTAAATCAAAGAACATCCACCTCCTTGCAAGCAAGGCTATGCCTTTAGCAACTTACATTTAAAGAAATATGATTACAGCATTAATCCCTATGAGACATTTAGCCAGAAATTCATATTCATCAGCTAGTTTTCAAATTACAGTCTCTGGTTCAGGTCTTCTAGTCAGGGTTTTTTTGTTTTAGGTTTTAGTTTGGTTGGCTCAGGTTTCACATTTGCAAATAAACTGTATCTAGTTCATTATGCTGAGTATCAGTTGGCAGCTAGGACTCTTATCTGTCACCTAATTAATTGTGATAATGAGGCTGTCTTTCTTTTCATTATTTTGTCTTCTTAAGGACTTTTATCTTTAAAGAGACTGGTCAAATCCTGATATAAAAATGAATATTTTACATCATGTAATAAAACTAATTACTTTGTTAATTTAACCAACAGGCAGGGAAAGATATTCTGCTCTAAATTTCTTGTTCTTTTTAGGATTTTATCATAGCGATTACCTATCTTAATGAATTAGGAGAGAAGCCTCCAGGAGGACCTTATTGCAGACTTGCAGTACTTAAAGAGATCGTATTAGAAAGATGGGGACAGACGTTTTACACCTGTTTTAAAGGACAAAGGGTAATAGTTTTAAACTAAAAGAAGATAGATTTAGACTAGATATAAGGAAGAAACTTTTTATCATGAGGGCGGCGAGATGCTGACATAGGTTGCCCAGGGAAGTGATAGATGCCCCATCCCTGGAAATGCTCAAGATCAGGTTGGGCAGCTCTCTGAGCAACCTGATCTAGTTGAAGATGTCCCTGCTCACTGCAGGGGGATTGGACTATATGGTCTTTAAAGGTCCCTTCCAACCCAGACCGTTCTATGATTCTGTTATTCTAATGAAAAATTTCTGAGAATGTCTTTCCAACAGTTGAAACCTTGTATTATTCTGATACCAACCCTGCTAGAGCATTACATTAAATCACTATACTACTTCTGTAACACATAAAAACTTGCCTTAAGTTTTTTTAATCAGAATATGATTAAAAAAACAGTAACCACCTAATTAGTTTTTTTATAACTTTTAGTCTTTTTTTGTGGCATTTCAGCTTTGTATTGTAAGTAGTCTGCATGGACAGTATTGTGAACAGTTTACTGCAAACTTTGATCATCCTCAGCTTAGGAGAATTTTTCAGTCAATTTTTCAAGTCTGAATAGCTACTGAGAAATTTTCAGAGTTGAGAGCATATTAGCTGGCATTTTAAAAAACATCATTACTGTATTGGTTTGACAGCTACAGGGTTATGAAACTGTGCTATTTCATTTAAAAATTATTTGTAATTATTTATTATTTCCAAGTGAAACCAGAAGTCACACAAACTTGAGTGATATTTTTAAATAAAGTTACTATGCTGGGTGATGAAGACGAGAACCTAAAATGTTCTTCCTCCCCAGTGTAGGACAGATTTTTGTCATCAAAAGCAGTAGCATAAAATTTTCCTTTTTTGGAGGTGAGGCTCTTCATCTCTGTTAGGAAGAAAGCTAAACAATATAATGTCAGCAAATTGTTTTGAGGAAAGTAATGATTTCTCCATATAGTGTCTGCATGTATATGTGTTTATGTGCAAACTTTGGATTCTGTTCCTTCAGTGGTGTTACAGTGAATTAAATTGCTACCATAAGAGGAAAAGTAATTTACTTTAACAAAGTATAAAAGTGTATGAATAAAAATGTCATCTCTCATCTAAATGTTTTGCAAATACATAAGGCATTTATAATCCTAGTAGTCCTGTAACAACCAGTTTTATTAATCAGTGATAATAATAATACCTCTTCAACATAGAGTATATGTCTTTAGTTCCCAATGTGTGTTTTCATTCAATTTAGCATGTGTGTAGAGAAAGACCAGTAGTGATGATGTATAAATGCATATAGGTATTTAATAACTAAATAGGGCTACTAAACCCTGTTGCACTTTCCTGATGAAAGGCTCATTTTTTATTTCAGTTCACATTGTAATAACAAATACAGTATATATATTAGAATCACTGTAAGCCTTAGACTATAACTTTGTGCCATGATCAAAGAAATAGATGTTTATTGTTTGTTACGCACACTTGAATCCAGATCCTGCAAGTTTGTAGGCAGACCTGTGTGTATATATATTGCTTTAGATGTGTGAGAAATAATGACAGAAGGTCACTATTCACAGAACTGTGATCATGTCTGAGTCAGAGTACACAATGTATCAAGCATTTTAACTTTGTCATTAATTTTTATTAATCTGAAATATTCTTCCTTTGTGTTATATATATGTGTGTGTGTGTGTATATATATGTATATATATAGGTATATTTAGCCTTAGTGAGATTTATAAGGAGTCATGCAAAAAAACCCAAGAAATACAATTTGGCTCACTGTCGTATTATACTGCAATGAGATCAGTGATTTTTATCTTGTTAAAGAAAAAAGATACCTCTGAGAGATGGAATCTTTAGATACATGAAGGTCTTGCCTGGTTTAGCTTTGATTGGTTATTTGAATGAGCATAATATGATTGAATTCTGAAAGCAATAGATAACCATCTACTGAGTAAAAACTTCTATAATTTCTTATGAAATACATGATCTGACACCACCATCTGACACCACCATCAATCAGAGCTTAACTACTGTGGAAAAAGGCATTCTTTTGTATTTCAAAGCATTAGAGTATTTAAAATCTGAATTGTTCTGAATCATGACAAGGATGGTATTCCACCAGAATTATTCAGAATAAAATTAATTAAAGCAACATGTATGAGTGAAAAAATAAATTAACAAAACCCTGCATCCATAAGGAGGGCAAAAAGTTTCCCGTTTCTTTACCTTTATAGATGTGAGAATTTTTCTTTCTATTTAGTTGGGGTGAAAATTGTTTCTGTGCCTAAGAAGAATATGTGTAAATAATACTTTGAGAACATGGACATATTTAATTTCACATAGAATAGTATGACAAACTGTACTCAATATTTGTAATTGATATAGTAGAGAAAGACACAGAACCTCCCTCATTTTGTGCATGTTTGCATTCCTTCAAATTTTTGCTTCTTTTTTGCTATCATAACTAGTTAACAATAAATTCTAACAGCTTTTCACTAATGTGCTGTAAGTTCTTAAAAATAAATGTACAAAGGGAGCCCATTAACAATAATTATTTGGGGCAAGGGGGAAGTAGACTGTGTTAGCCTTAGTATTAACTTCTGTTATTGCAGTCACAACATAACCATTTAAATAAGACAGTTTATGAATTAGGATCTCTGAAGGACACAATTGTACCTTATTGCAGAAAAATGAAATATACTTGGTATTTATATCTCAATCTGAGAAAGACTAAAGTCGAATTATTTTTTTAGAGTCAGGATTCAGCTTTCACTTTTGTAAAAGCCATGCTGATGCATATCCTTGGTTTCATCACCTGCCTTCTCAAAAATTGTATCTCCTAAGCAAATAAATGTATGTTCTTTATTCCACAGTGGCAGCAGTGTGAAAAAGAGTCCAGTATAATATAATGTTTGAAACATTGCATTCACTGTATATACATGCTTTGCTAAATATACTATTTTTAACACTCTTTTTTACTAAACATATATACATAAACTGTGCTGTTAATTTTTAGCTGTTGCTGCCTGCATTTTTCTGCAAAGTGGGTTTTAGTTTTATTCTCACATATCCAGTTGTGCCATTGTCAGTGGATTTCTTTGTTTTAAAGAGGATTGTTTTTCATTTTTATTTTACAGAGTTACATACATGGAAGCAGTCAGGCTCAGTTTGTTGCAGAATCACATATTATTCTTCTGCTGAGTATCCTTCAAAGTGATGATGAATATAAAAAAAGCAAGATGAGGCACAGTGTGATGTTAAATAAAATTGCTCTGGCAGGGAATAGCTGAACATTTGAGCAGGTATTGTATTTTGCCTTACTTGCTATATGTTGAAGTAAATATTCAATGTTGTTGCTATTTACTGCCAAGTAAACCTGGCATTCCTTTCGCTAATGTGTACCTTATTATATCCTTTGTTAGTCTTATGCCTTCAGTGTTACCTGTTCGTAGCAGAAACTAATTTTCTTCTTTTTTTACTCTGTGTTATAATAGTTAAAAATTCATTGAAAAAATAATTTTATTTCTTCTTACTGACAAGAAAAGCATACAGAAATTTACCAATCATGCACGAAGATGATTTGTCCTCCAATAGTCCTTGGATTTTTTTCCCCCACCTAATCTAGACAGTTTCCTACTACTTCTTGAAATAAATAACTCAATCACATTTGTTCTGACATCATCTTCTCACAGAAAGACTCTTGAGACCTACTTTTACCTTTTACTCTTTCATTCTTACTGAGTCAGAAAAAGTTAAATGAATTTTTTTTTGTGAATGTCTTAATAAACTGTAAAAAAAGCTTATATGTTCTGGATTTTTAAACCCTGCTTCTCATCAGCTTTATTCATTGAGTAAAAACTCTAGTCGCCATTAACCATTTTTAAAGTCTAGTTTCCATTACAAATACCTTCGTCTGAGGGGAGCAAACAAAAGAAAATAGTATTTCCCAATTTATAGTAATAACTAGATCTCAGTTACATTAATGCAGCTGTCTGAAAGAATCCTTTCAGTGATGTTGTTCATTGCCACTTCCAAAAGGAATTCTCTAAGGTTTCATTTCATGGCTCAATACTGTTGAGATGAGTTTTTGGTCACACACAAATTTCAAAATGAAATCTTTGCCATGAAATATTGACAAATGTGCATGAAAATTAATATTTCTGTATACTTTCAATGTTGGTAATAATTATTAACTGCTCCATTGCTTCTTCATTATTTGCTTATTGAGAAAATGTTGCTAGAAAATGTGGGAATTAGAAAAAAAGTATGCCAAATTGATAAACAGCAGTGCATTCAATTTATCCTTTAAAGTTTAAAAGATGCATTGAATTTTAAAACAAGGCATTACTATGCTGGTAATGTACATGTTTCATTTGGTTGCTTATTTTTACTTTGTAGTAGTAAGGTTGTCACTTTTTGCTAGATGTTGAAATAAAATGTTATGTTTCTCTATAAAGTGAATTTTTAATACCTCTGATGAAAAAATGTGAATTTCCATTGCATTTCTATACTTGCTTTTAGATAGTGATTCTATCCCATTTATTAGATGATTTCTGTATAAAAATCTGCTGTTTTTCCAGGCTGTAGCTGCATAATTAGGACATGGTTAAGAAGGACTTGTGAAGAAGTCAGATACTCAAATTATTTTATAAAGCAAAAAAAAAATTAAATTCAGTAAAATCTGTGCAATGTTACTGATTACATACCAGGTGTATGTACACAGACACCACCTAGGACTGGTAATAGAGGTGAACTTCATTACCACTTGTGGTAATGAAAAAACATCAAAAAAGAAAGTGATGTAGTTTGATTGGCATTTCAGTGGTTGAAATGCAAACTTCCAGCTACATCACTGTTGTGAGATGCATATTTCAAGGAGTTTAGGGGAACTCCAGTGCCAAGACTCATGTAATGCTTCCTAAAATTCTTGAAAAGCCATTTGACATAGCTGAAGCCAGAAAGTTTTAAGGGAAAGAACGTTCAGGGTTATTTTAACTATCAGTACAACTGGATTTCAGGCCATTAAAAATACTGAAATACATCTTGATTGTGTACAATTCATCCATAAATTCAGATTCAAATAGATAATTTTCAGACTATTGTCCACTTTCTCAACTTCTGAGCTAGGAATCATCCTTCTTCACTGAGATGAGACATTTAGCAATTGGTGTCTTAAACATGCTCCTTCCTCAACCCTCAAGGCTTGTCAAATCATCCCCTGGGATGGTTATGATTTGAGAATTGAATAGTATAAGTGGAGTATTAGTCATTGCTCATTGTTTCCTGAACTGAAGCAAAACTGTATTGAAAAAAGCAATGAGACGTGTTTCATTGCACAACCGTACTTTTTGTATTCGTTAGTTTCTATATTAATTCATTAATATCTTAATTAATGACATAGAGCAATCGAGTGCACCCTCAGCAAATTTGCAGATGACACCAAGGTGAGTGGTGCAGTTGCCACACCTGAAGGACAGGATACCATCCAGAGGGACCTGGACAGGTTTCATAAGGGGGACCCATGAAAATCTCATGAGGTCTAAGAAGGCCAAGTGCAAGGTGCTGCACCTGAGTCAGGACAACCCTCAGTACCAACACAGGATGAGGGATGAATGGCTTGAGAGCAGCCCAGCTGAGAAGGACTTGGGGATGCTGGTGGGCGCAAGGCTGGACAATGAGCCAGCAATGTGCACTTGTAGCCCAGAAAACCAATCGTGTCCTGAGCTGCATCAAAAGGAACCCCTCTACTCCTCTCTGGTGAGACCTCACCCGGAGTGCTGCATCCAGCTCTGGGGTTCCCAACACAGGAAGGACATTGACCTGTTGGAGTGAGTCCAAGAGAGAGGATTGGGTAAGCTTGGAAAACAGGTGGCTTCGGGGTGATCTATTTGTGACCGTCTAGTACCTGAAAGGAACTTACAGGCAAGGTGGGGCAAGACTATTCACAAGGGCACGTAGTGACAGGATAAGGGGGAATGGGTTCAAGTTGAAAGTAGCTTTAGATTAGGAAAAAGTTCTTTACTGTGAGGATGGTGAGGTGTTGTAACAGGTTACCCATGGAAGTTGTGGATACCCCATCCCTGTAGGTGTTCAGTGTCAGGTTGGATGGAGCTCTGAGCAACCTGGTCTAGTTGAAGGTGTCCCTGCCCATGGCAGAGGGATTGGAAGTAGATGATCTTCAAGATCTCCTTTCCCAAACCCAAACCATTCTATGATTCTATCATTCAATCCATTATATAAAAAAACAAATAAAAACTCTTGCTGTGAAAAGAGGCTAATACTTTGTTTTTGAGAACAGCATGTAACTGGAGAATATAGAATAATAGAAATTAAATTCAAATGGAAATGGTTGAGATAAAGAACCTGTAATGTGATCAGTATTTTTGAAATTATATCAGGTATTGTAGTGGTTTAAGTATTAGTAGGAAAAGGTTAAGACAAATACCTCTATCAGCAAAGTATGCCCCACCTTGTAAGGGGCCAGCAAAGAATTTCTCATGTTCTAATCATCATGCCCAAGCACAAAAAAAAACCCAGACTAAACAAACAAAACCCTCAAACAAACAAAAAACAACCAACCAAAAAACTACACCAAAACAAAACAAACAAACAAAAAAAGATAAAAAAGCATGCATGATAATCTCTCCCCCCATTTTAGGTAACAGTAAACTGAGCACAGGCTCGAGTGGATGTTTTCTAGTTTTTCTTGCTCATGTGTTATTAAGCAACTGCATGATCTGCAACTAAAAAGGTAGTCATTTCTTTATGTGTGTAATGGTAATGCCAGATTTTGTACTCTTGGCAGAAATACAGCAGACTATGAATGAGACTACCAAACTTTTTTCACAAAAGTAACCGAGTGTTAGTCAACCTCTTTTCTCTCCTTCTTTCTTTCCTCGCTTACTACTAATTAGGACTAAATGTGTGAAGTAAAAGTATAAATTATGTCATCATCATGGCTAGGCTTCGCGAACGAAGATTTGGGAGGGCTCTACCCACGTTTGTTGAAAGTGTGTTGGTGGCTAAAAGGTCCAATACGAGATAGGCACGTCTGGTTGCAAAAGGCACAGCAGAAAGACTGCTCTCCATTGCTGGCAAAATCCTGGCAAGAATACTCTTGAATAGACTAATACCCGCTATAGCAGAAGGAATTCTACCTGAAAGCCAGTGTGGTTTCAGAGCCAACAGGAGTACCACAGACATGGTGTTTGTTCTCAGACAACTGCAAGAGAAGTGTAGGGAACAGAACAAAGGTCTCTGTGTAACCTTTGTTGACCTCACCAAGGCTTTCGATACTGTGAGCAGAAAAGGTCTGTGGCAGATTTTGGAATGTTTAGGTTGTCCTCCCAAGTTCCTTAAAATGATCTTCTCATTCCATGAGGATCAACGCAGCCAAGTCAGATATGGCAATGCACTTTCTGAGCCCTTTCTATAAATTATGTATCACATTAATAAAAGTAGGAATGATCAGGTTTTCTTCCTTTTGGGCATTCTGTGATTAAATTTTCTATTAGAGTATGCTAATAAAAAGTATCCCAAATTTACTAGCAATTGGTTTCATTTAGTAGGGTATCTATAATTTTGGAGTTTATTGATACAATTTTTGGGTTTTGTTTTGGATTTGGTGGTATGGGGTTTTTTTCATACATCTGAAAAATCATCTTGATTTTTACAAGGGCTAAATATTATGCTCTGTACTACTTATCATTTTCTGTATGATCCTACAAATTTTGATGATCACTGTCTTTTTCATCCTACTTTAAAACTGTTGTTGTTCATGTTTCAAAATTCAAAACCTTTTCAATAGCACTATCTAAATAATATGTTTTCAGTTTTTATGATAAGCATGTATCAGCTGGGAAAAGGAGTAACAGAAGTTTCATATGTAAAAGTGTAACAGGATTTACACAGAAAAAAAATTTTACAGTGGAATAAATTTATCAGAAAACATGAACATCTGAATTTAAAACATTTGCTTGCCATGGTTTATCTGAGTGCCACATTCCCCCCATGTTTTCAAAATAGTTTCATAATGCATAGTGAGGCAGATAAAGAGGAACTGGAAAATAAGTACATCTTTTGATGCCATCTCATTTTTGGCACATGAAAAACTGTCAAAGTAAGAACTTGCTAAAGTTTTACATTCTGCATTGCTAGAGAATTACAATACTGTAAAAGATTATTTTAAGAGCTAGGACTATTGTTTTCTTTTGTAGAATATCAAAATAGTGTAAAGGCATAATGAAGAATGTTAGAAACAGGAGTTAAAAATAGAAACAAGCTGTGTATTCTGTGATAAAAAGCTACTTGTATTGAAATCACAACTCTGTTGAATTTTTGCTTCCACATCAGAAAGCTGCAGCAAGTACAGCTCAGTGTTACAGTGTGAAGCTACGAAGCTGATATTATTGAAGGTAAAAGGCAGCCAATGAGGCTGAAAGCTCAACAATGATGACTAAAGTTAGAAAGCAACAACTGAAGCAAAAATAGTGACAATGTGAGGGAAGCTTTAGGGGTAATCATGTGAGGCTCCAAAAGAGAGGGGAAAAAACCAGCATAATTCAGGTGGTTACAGAGCTAGAATTCTCAGTTGCAGAGCAAACAAGTTGCTTTTGTGAGGCTGTTATTCCTGGTGGTAAGAAAAGTGAATTAAACTCATGATCTGGTAAAAAAATTAATAACTAAGTTACAAAATGGTTTCTGCCAGATAGCTTTCTAGTGTGTGGTTGGCTAGTTTGTTTCTCAGAAGCAACCAGGTAAGGGAAATAGCAAAGGACCACATTATGTATTAATATTGCATGAGATAATCACACAGAAAAATTCCGTTTACAGAGCAGTTCAAAACCTTTGCAAAAGTAACACTTCCCCAAGAGGATTTGGTGACTTACCCTCACATCCTGGGACTGTTTTTTTTCCCTATGACTGTTAAAGTCAGGACTAAAACACTACTATAAATCCAAGCGAGGTATTGGCAAAATAAAGTAATCAGATAATACTAACTTAGGGACTTTTCTTAATAGGGTAGAAATACAGGGGGGAAATTTTTTGTCGGCTCTTCTTGTGGCAATTGCCTCAATTAATTCATGTTAATGCTTTTGTAACATTTGAAAATAGAGAACTGAGTGGTTCTCATGATGTTCTTTCCAATTCTTTTCCCTACTTGAAACATAACAGTAGCATAGGAGATTCCCGGTCTCTTATGCTCATGAATCTGAATCTTGACAGGCCAAATTTTTAGAAAATAATTTTTGCCTTCCCACCCAGTTTGCATAGTATCATGCATTCCATGGTTGGGTTTTTTTCACTATATTTTGCAATTTTTTTTTAAATTTTGTCAAGTGCAGTAACAAGCCTCCAGAAGACTTGAATATAAGCATTTATTCATGAGTGACCCTAAGCCTTATACACTGTGCGTGTGTGAGGAAGGTAATTTGGGCTACTAGTCTGTTTTTAACTAGAGTTTGATTTAGGACTGTAGGTAGATGACTGTATCAGAGAAGTGGTGTTAAAAATAATAGTTTTTGATGTTGTCTATTGTCTTTCACCATCGATATTTGCTTTTTTAAATCTTGTACTTTTCATTTGTCTCTTCTTATTCTATGTATATGAAATTTGGAAGTCTCAAACCTAAATCAGGCTGCTCATCTCTGATGAAGTGTGATTGTGTTAGCATTGACAGTTCTAAATCCTTTTGCTCAGGCTTAACTTAATTAAAATTGCATCATGGAATTCCAGATGTCTAAGCATTTTTGTATAATTTTGAACATTTCTAAAATGAAAAATATTAATATGAACATTGATAGTCATCCTACTTCCTAGCCCTGGGGTAATGCTTAAAACTTCAACCTTATTTGAATCTGTTAACTGGTGAAGTTCGTATTTCCTGAAATTGTGATTCTGAAATAGCACCCATGGTTCACTCCTGCTTCAGGATGGCATTCGGGCTTTCCCTGCCTCAAAACAGATGTTATGCACAGTAGTAACCTTCTTTTTTGTTTATATAGTTTCAAATAAACAATAAAGTGAATGGCTTAACATCTTGCTAGATTAGTTAAATTGTTTTATTGTTATGTACTTGCTCACTCTAGTAACAGTTATAATGAGACAACAAAACATTGAAAGTGACTGAGGACTTGCCTCTGAGATGTTTCTCTGCTAAACTATTAAGCAATATGACATTAAAGAGGAAGCTAATGTCTTATCTAAATGCCGAAGAAGATAAAGCAGTCCAACTGCTTCAGTTTGTGTCAAATAACCAATGAATTGTGTGCAATTGCATTGAAGGATCTTACAGTTTTTATTTTTTAAAAATCCTTTACTGCAAATATACAGAATATTATAAAATATCGGTGAATAACTATTTCCATAGCTGTCCAAAATTTATGTGTCCTACTTGACAACTATCCTTTAAAGCTTTTTGAACCTTCTTTCCTTTTTTTAATCTAGAATGCACAAAGAAAAATTTTACTACAGATTTTTGCCACAGGTGAGCATATTGGTGCAGTACAGATTGCGATATGCGGTTTTTATATGTAAATACTTCCTTTCATTTTATGAACTTGAAAGCTTTAGTTTGTAGATGTACCTTTGTAGCTTTCTCAGCTACCCACACACCTGCTGCTTTCCTTGACAATAGCAATACAGATGCTGCTATCACCATGGGAATGGTACTCCTGAATGAAGCTGCTACCTCCAAAGGGGATGTTGGAAAAAGGAGAAGTAAGTTGTACTAAATAGTTAAGGCAATGTTCAGACAATAAGAAGATATTGAGAAATTACAAGTGAATATCTAATTAGCTTCTCAGAAGGTCTTTACTTTAAACCAGTGTTTTCTTTTTTGGGGTGGAAAAAAGGAGAGCATAAAAATTCTGTTGATAAAACTACATTCAAATGAAGTCAGTAAAAAAATGTTCTGAGCACACTCAGCCAAGGTACAGATTGACACAGTAGTATCTCTACTACTTAGAATTGCATAAATGCTTTTTGGCTCTTGAATTACATTGAAAGTGAGTGACTTAAAGAATAAGAGTTTCAAAACATTGTTTTTAAAATTAATTTAGGCATTTAAGATGACAACATCCAAAGGAGTTTGAATATTCTTTTACTGGATAGTCTTGCCAGTATCATGTCTTGAGAGGAAGATGAAAACCCAGCAGTAGATATAGTATCCTAATCTGTAATGTCTAAAGATTTTTAGTCTGAAGTGCAATTTTTATGTTTTTCTGAATGTTGTTGTCATTCAAAATATTTGCAAGATTTTTTTTGTCAGTGAATTACATAAACACACAAGATGAAAATATTTTATCCAGAATCAAACTTCCTTATACTTGGAAGATACCAGATTTGCTACACTGCCTCCCCTTTCTTTTGAGATCAGTTCTTTAGCTACACAGTATTGCAGATAAGACTGGCCAACTATTTTCTATAAAAGCATTCTAGAATGCTTCATAACTGGTTGAATGTTTGCTAGAGATCTCTAATCAGTAGTGATTTGAGAATCTCTTTCAATGAGCTGTAGATGAATCATTTCATTCTGAATATCTTTTACAGTATCTAGCTTTAACTCTGATGTTAGAGGAGACAATGACATGAGTATAGTTGAAATATAATCTTAGATCCTCGGCTGTGAACATGAACACAGTGAAATAAAAGTGGACTGCAGTACAAATTCAGACTTTGCTCTTTGTGCCCCTTATGTGAATGCTTTCTGTGTATCTGGCTTGCACTGTTCATGCTTCCAATTTATTCATCCGTGCTTTGAAGTCATATTTGTGAGTGGTGATTTCTTTATAATGAAGTGTGTTTATTAGGTTTGTACATGGCTAGTTTTCTCAAAATAACTTGAAATTTTATATTCCAGTTGACAGGCGTCAGTTTCCACATGGTCAGTTTTAATGAAAAAATGCGTCATTGTCGGTTTCCTTGGATTCATGTTTGCTCATCCTTTGCTCAAAGGCAGCACACTTTTGAAGCATGAATATTGCAATTAAATAGCAAAGGTTTGGCTAAAGTAGGAGTAGTATAAGAAGAGGAGTTTTTAAAATCAGAGCAGCTCACTTCGTCTAATGTAGAGCAGCTGCATCTGAGTTATATGCATCAGCTTGTAACATTTTCCCTTTTTAAAAATGTTTATTTACATGCAACAGAGCAAGCTATCATGATCAAAAGAGGTTTTATCCTATTATTCCACGGGGTGCCAACAGATTTTCCAAATTTTATTTATTAATTTAAGCATTTACCTTGTTACTTAATTCTTTGCCTGAAAAGGCTCAAAGGATGCTACCCGAAGATCTGCATCATTGTAATTTAGTTTCAAAACCTGAAGATTTATATTGCTATTGAGTTAAGAGTAAAAAGTGATTTGGCTGCCATCCTTGGAACTTACAACAGTGAAATTTTTAGCCACCAATAACTAGATAAAGTAGTCACTAGCTGTCTTTGCCATAGATGGTTGACTAGAGACATGATTTCATCAGTAAAGGGATATTTTTCTAAATGTATTTTTTTTTCCAAAAAGAAGAGTAAATACCTGAAGTGACATTGCTTGATATGTATAATTTACAGGGTTATTAAATCCTCTATCAGCAGTAAGGTGTTTGCATCCACATATATTTAGTTTGCAAATTTCTGCTCTTTTTTTCTTGAAAGTACATTTACCCTGACAAATTATTTTTTCTTAATAACCATAAACATTATTTCCATATGTGTTTTAAATCCTGTCGGAAGATAGTGGACATCAGTATTCAAGGCAGTAACATTTTTATATTTAACTGTGTCAAAATTCTCTATAAATAATTGACATAAATAATATTCTTTGTAAAGATTCCAGTTTTAAATGTTTTATGTGCTAATAAACAAAGTTATTTTATTTCCAGTAATATGTCTGGTAGGCCTTGGTCTTGTGGTCTTTTTCTTCAGCTTCCTGTTATCAATATTTCGCTCCAAATACCATGGCTACCCATACAGGTAATCTGTCATTAAATTCTCAATTTATAGATTGTAATAGCTTTGTGTAAGTTTATGAATAGCTTTCAGGTTAACAATCTTTAATGCTTACCACTGAAGTCAATGGAAGGTGGAAGAAGCAGGAAAAATGGGGATTAAGTCAAGCAAACCAAAAAGGGCTGAAAAGCTCATGTTGTTAAACATGACTGCTAATGCATACCAGTTGAAAGGGTTTGAGCACAGATGTGTAACCCATGCAGTGCCCCATGAAAAATGGAAAAGAAAACATGCTTTCTTTTCTAAGGCTTTATTAGATATTTATTTGTGTATCTTTATAACTAAGATGTACGTAAGACGAGGTACAAAAATACCAAAGGAGTGTGCAGTGCTATGCTATGACTTTTCACTAAAAATACCCTCTTTTTTTGTCAGCCCCACCACAGAGGAGAGAAAGGGTTTTAGTTTTTTTAAAGTATATGTACACCTGTCATTTAAAGAGTTGTAATTTGTCTGACAAACAGAAAAGTAGATTTCTATGGTTACACCTTGTGATTAGTGAAACAGCCAGCTTTCTGTGTTATGTTCCACTAATAAGGATTCAGCCTTGCAAAGCCAACTTAGATCTAACATTTGAGCTAATACATTACAATTGTTCTATTGGTTTTTACTGTGAGACTTTAGAACCATTTTCTTGTTTACTGAGGTTGATCACTTTATGCTGATTAATTGACATTAAGTTGCTTCAGATTAGTTTTAGCATTTAATAACATCACACTGAAGACAAGGAAATTCTTCCCTTGCAATGTGTGCAGAAGATGTACTCCTACTTTTTAGTAAGTTCTGCTAAGGAAAGAGGTCTGTAAAGTGCCCAGTAGTATCATACTGCAAAATTTCATCAGTATGAATTTAGTAGTTTGCCATCTGGGATAGTCAGTATGGCCTCTCAGCATCATCTCTGGAGATTACCTTCTAGCTCAACTAACTTGGGGTGAAAGACAGGGTCCAGTTTTCCTAAGTGTGAGGTATTCTTTCCATTAACTACTTAAATCTTAAACTTAAAAATGCAGGAATGATGAGCTTAATCTGCAGCTCAAAGCTCATTTGAGAAGCACTGCCAAAGAATGGCAACCCATGGTCTCAGCTCCCTTCCCTCTTCTCATAACAAGTTTACTAAATGGAAAAGGCAGTTGGTGGTGCTGGTGTGTTCCCTGCTATGCAGTTTAACAGCTGCGAAATAGAACCTGGCTGCTGTACTAGTTTCATTTTCATTTCACTAGTTTCTTAAGAATATTCATATCACCTATTAAGAACATGCTTATATGTCTGTGCCAATTTCCAGCCCTTCCATGGCTTTTGTGAATGTTTGCAGTAGGGTTTTTCTGGCTTCTGTGTGATACGTAGGATGTCTGGGGTTGAACAGTAACTTGTGAACATTAGTATGCTCTGTGAGTTTGCATGCCAACATGATACCATTGATGTTATTGCAGACTTAATTGCTCAGGTCTACTACAGATCTTATAGTATCATGCATTACAAGCTTTACAAATCTAATTTTAAGTAGTGTATGATTTTTCTTTCTTTTCTTGCTGTTCTGTTTGCTGTAAATATTTGGTGGAGTGGATTTTTTTTAATATAATTTTATTCCTCCCACAATTAATCTTGTATTTAGTGAAATAATAGACATCTTTTCTTCAATGTATCTAGCAGAAGTTGGAGCCCTATGTAGATTTTGTATTTCTCTGATAGTATCCAAGCTAAGAATAAAGGACATCAAGAATTGGGGGTGGGGGAAGAGGAAGAGGAATTCTGAATTCTATTAAAAGTTTAACTTCGAGAAATTTAGTTTGATGTGCAATGCATGTCAAAAAGAAGTACACCTGTTAGTATGTTAAAGCTGGTTAAGAAAGAAATAAAAGAAATCCAGGACAGTGCTGAAAAGAATGATTCATCACAATCCTGTTAAAATGAGGTAGTACCACATCATGTTGTCACTATGAAGGAATTATTAGATCTATAAACCAAATTCTGTCTTAAGGAGATAAGTACACTCAATATCACAACTTACAAATCATTAACACCCATCAAGTAAATCTGTTTAAAAAAATGAACACTGTGTATGTATAAATACATGAGAAACATTTATTAGGTGGCTAAGTGTTATGCAGGGCTTTTTTTTATCATGTTACTTCTGCACAAGTAAAAGAGATCTATTGGGCTTACTTGATCTGTCCTAGATTCTTCATGTTTTCATGGAAATAAATTAATCATTCAATCTTAAAACCTCACTCAATGTAGAATTATTGGAAACCATCACTAGAGCTGATCCTTTTGCTCTGCTATTATCAAATTTCATTTGATAGTTTCCCAAATGTGTAATTTATTTATCTAGTCCTTTCCAGTGTTAAATCTTCCATGTTTCTTTTGGTCTCTTGAGTAGCTCTGACCCGATTTTCTGTTGCATTATTTGAAATAAATATCCTATTGATTCTTTGACACTTCAGTGGTCTCAACCATGTCATCTTCATCACAATTTCATAGTGTTTTTTAGAGAAGTCCATTTGATTTTTGTGCATAGTTCTTGTGAATTTTAATGAAATGAATGCACAAAACTCTAAAGAGGACCTTTTAATTTAGTATCCTGCATTTTAACTTCAGACATATATGCTAAAATGCATTAATCTTTTTGTCTACATTCCTTAAGATCTTCCAAAAAGTTCCATGTCCCATCAGTTGATCCTAGTGTAGATATATCTTAAGATGTGAAGTACGTCTGTCCTTTTACTTTCACTGGTTGTAGATTTCACCTTGGAACGATCAGTCTTTACATGATAAATTGTCCTCGGGCTAGTACAGTGTTGCCTTTAACAATATCAACAGCAATGCATACTAATGATCTGTTAGGAAAAAGGGAAGTTTATGTTGGCATGTCTAAAGCAACAGTTAAGGAAAACTGAAATTGTTTCAATGCATGACCTCAAGCATCAACTTTACTGTCCGACTTAAAAAAAAAAAAGTCAAATGTACTAAATTGTTTCTGTTCTCTGGCACTGAATAACCAAGTCAGTCCTCTGTGAAGCATCATGCATCAATAAAAAGTGAAACTGTAACACAACCTGCTGTGCATCCTCTTTTCTGCAGTGACCTCCATGTAGTGAAGATAAATCAAAACAGAGTTGGATAAACGTAGAGCAAAAACGGGAGAAAGACTGCTATTTCCTCATCTAATGTGCATAAATAAAAGTACTGGGCATTCTGTTGTTTCTTTGACCCTGTAATGCCATTGTCATTGTTAATATCTGTGATAAAAAGAAAAGTGTCCTGAGGAGTACTAGATATGAGTACAGATCTATAAGGTCCTCTTTAGAGGGCATGTATGTAGGAGGGGATAGTAGTATTTTGTTTACATTTTTTTGATCCACTTCAGATATTTTCCAATCCATATTTGATTCTTTCTTCCAAAGAATTTTCTTCTTGAAGGCTAGGATTGGGGGAAAAAATTGTTTAATTAATATGCTGGTAAAATGCCTTTATACAGTAAAGCATTGGAATGGGAAAGGTGACACAAAATGGAGGTTTCATGGTTTAACCCCAGCCAGCAGCCACATAACACACAACTGTTCACTCGCTCCCCCACCAGCAGGACCGGGGAGAGAATTGGAATGGCAAAGGCCAAAACACTCATGGGTTGACATAAAGACAGTTTAATAAGGAAAGCAAAAGCCACACACACAAGCAAAGCAAAACGCTGCTTCCCAAGGGCAGGCAGGTGTTCAACCATCCCCAGGACAGCAGGGCCCCCTCACAAGTAACGGTTACTTGGGAAGACAAATGCCATCATTCCAAATGTCTCCCCATTCCTCCTCCTTCCCCTCTGAGCATGATGTTATATGGTGTGGAATATCCCTTTGGTTAGTTTGGGTCACCTGTCCCGGCTGTGTCTCCTCCCAGCCTCCCATGCACCCCCCAACCTCCTCACCAGCATGGCAGTGTGGAAAGCAGAAAGGGCCTTGGCGCTGTGTAAACACTGCTCAGCAATAACAAAAACATCTCTATATTGTCAACCCTGTGTTCAGCACAAATCCAAAACATAGCCCCACACTAGCCACTGTGAAGGAAATTAACTCTACCCTAGTTGAAAACAGCACAGGAGGTCATCATGAAAATTACTCACTGAGCAAACACAAAACTGTGTGCTAGAGCCATTTTTGCAATGGCAGGGCTTTTCATACCTGCACTAATTCACCTTTTTTATGGGAACTAGATGAAACTTTTCATTTTGCTAAAACTCTCACTTTAATTGCTATCATTAGCTGTTGAAAGATTATGCAATAATTTTATTTTATACTGTTGAACATTTTCCTTTTATAATTCTTTCTGGATAAGACAAGTGTGTTGATATATGTGAGAGAATGTTTTTTGGAAGTCTTCTCACCCCAGTATTTTGAGTGAATGGATGATATATTAAATATACTCAGTGATTAAAGATACTCAGTGAGTGATTGAAGACTCTTCTTCACTATGAATCAAAAGTATGAACTCTAAGATAGCTTTGCTAGTCAGGAAAGAGCTTGGAGGAATCTCTGGAAACCTCACTTTAGGCAGTTTCAGCCCAAAAAGCACATGGAACATGAAAAAGAATGAGAGAGGATGGTAAGAACAAAATAGAAGATGCCAATACAGTAGCACAGTATTGTATTACTGGGAATGTTAGGCATGTAAACCTTTGTAATACTGGTTTCTTCAAAAGGACAGATAAAAGTTTTGTCCACGCTTTACTGATGTTAAAAACAGTTTCTTGATTATTTTTTTTAGCATTGGCTGCAACTAATTAACTGCCCTGTGTTGTCTTCTGCCCTGCTTTGTTTTCTGAATGAAACTTTTAGCAGTTTCATTATTGTTGATGCTTTAAATTGTTCTGCCAAGTCAACATGTTGTCATTTATTGTTTTAACCTCATATTAAATGAAATGAACACCTGAAAATTCAAAGTTTTCATAAGTTTTCATTAACTAACTTACATTAAGGAGCTTTTGAAAGAAGTTTTTAGTACCTCCAGTTGAGCGTTTTGTTATCTAGATTATCCTTCATGGCCATTGTATTTCGGTATTATTTACTAGAATAATGTGGAAATTTTTTTTGTTAAATCATAAAAAATAATCAGCCTTCTAAACTATGTATTGATGGAATGGAAAATACATATTCTGTATTGACTAGCAGAGAAAATGAACTAAGCTGCAAGGAAGCATGATAAATAAAAGTTGCCTTATTTTCATCAAAAAACCATAAATATTAAGTCAGACATGAGATATTCTTTCACTGTATAGAGGACAGTAAATGCAACAGAAACAGACAAATTGCAAGATGACCCAGAACATGAACATTCCTCACATTCACTATATACACTACATAAGACCTGTCTACCCTCATTGTAATTAAATTAGTTTCAGTTCAGTTGTGTAATATGGAGCCATTGAAATTAAATGCAAGTGAATAAAATAGAATAGTTGTTTCTTGGAAATATACTGATAAAATATTACTACACAGAACAAACAGACATCTAAAATTAAATTTATTAATAAACATGAGCAGCTACTAGCAGCTTTTTAGATGTTCCATGTTGATTTCATGCAAATTCAATTGATTTACCTTAAATTTATGAACTGGTAAATCTACTTCTGATAAACACCAGGTTTGGCATTCTGGTCTGTCATGCCCAGCAAAATTGGCTATTTCTTCAAAATGGCAGAAATCGGGATTATTGTAATAAAAAACAATAATACACAGCTATCAAAAAGCATCTTACATTTAGCATTTTCAATACTTCTACTCTTAATGTGGCTAAACAGTTCATCAAAGAAGCTACCTATTGAAATGAAAGCCAACCTTGGTTTTCTCTGTTCATCTAAACCATCAAGCAGCACACTGAATTCATGACTATCCACAAACCTCCACATTCTTCTCTATGTGAAGTGTAGACTTCCGTGCTGGTTTCTAATTCTTTAAAGAATGGGAGATCTGAATTCCAGGTGTCTGGACCTGTAACAGATCTCTTAGGAAGGATGTGCTTCTTCCTGTGGCAAACAGTTTGGATGCTCTTCTCATTGGACCTTTCTTCTGTGATTACCACCATTAAAAATGCCTCTTCTTGCTTTTATGTCTTCCCTGTAAGTCTTACAGTGTTGCCATTTAATCCTACCTATTTCTTCCCCTTCCCATCTAATTAATGTCTGGAATGGCACAGTTTGGCCAGCTTTTTGTTTTCTACTTCCCAATTCTTCATAAGGAGACATTTCCTTTTTTCTTTTTGCAGATCTGTACCAACACATGTTGTCCAATCTGTTATTCTAGATTTTTCAGAAACTGCCCACACCCTGTCTCTATCTTTGTGCCTACTCTATGATTTTTGACGGTGTTTTGGCTTTTTGTAGTTTCCACAGAATCACAGAGTAACAGAATGGTTGGGGTTGGAAGGGACCCCTGGAGATCAACCACTCTGCTAAAGCAGGTTCACCTATAGCAGGTTGAGCAAGATCAAATCCAGGCAGGTTTCTTCAGAGGAGAGTCCACAACATCTCTGGACAGCCTATTCCATTGCTCTGTCATCCTCGAAATACGGAAGTTTTTCCTCATATTCAGATGGAACGTGATGTGTTTCATCTTTCTGCCTTAGGCTTTTTCTTTCTTTGTGTATCTAGCCTCTTAAGCTTGTTCTGTAACTTTCAGTGTTTCTCTTATCCGTATTCTGTATCGTGTCTCTGAGCTGCTAAAGATGCAGTTTCCTTGTAGACAGAAAGTAAGGAACAGTAGATAGTAGCAGGTTGATCCAAAAATGACACTGCTGTATTTGTATTTCCTTACAGTTATATCGTTGTCTCTTACCCCTCTTAAGCCTATCAGTTCTACCTTCCTGATTATTGTAATCTTCAGTCCTCCCCACTCTTCCCTCCAAACTTTTTCCCTACCAGTAGTCCTCTCTCTTCTCATTTCCTTTCCTGTACATGGCCTTACACATCTATCCTAAACCTGGGTTAACGCATGTACTCAGCATTCTCTTACTTCTCCGCTCAGCACCCTACAATTCATCTCTTCGTGCAGTTGTTCTTGCCGGCTTTTCCCTTTCATTAATCCTTTCACCCTCCAGCACCCAGCCAGTTGCCATCTGTTTTGCCTTGGTTTGTATGTCTTGCCTAATGAGCTTGTCAGCTTTTTGCAGCAGTGAACATCTTTATACTGATACAGTCTTTTAAGTTTATGGCACTTGTATTTGTTTTGTAATCATTAATTAATTATGCCACGAATGGAAAACTGATGAAATTACTACATGTGTATGCTAGAGCACATTGCATATTTATAAGGAGTTGCAAGACCTTCCCAGTGAAGCTAGAGGCAGTACTTCCGTTCAGTAGTTCATTGCTTTTGTGTTTGTACAGCTAGTCTGTAGTCATGGACAAATCTTTCTCAATGTGTTCCCATCTCCCAGTTTGTACTCGGTAAAGTACTTAGAAAGGTATGACACACAATACATATCTGCATTTTAGAAATGCAAAGTTTTGTTCCAGGGGTAAAAAAACCAGCAATGTCATCTGAAACTTCTTAATGTATTAAAACACTAAGAAGAGTCTGCAACCCTACAAAGCCTTGCCAAGCGCTGTATAGCCTTCCTACTCTGGTGCCACTTCAACAGTAAAGGAAGAAGGTTTTAAATAAACCTGAAACATTTCCTAGGAGAGGTCTCTCACTTTAAGTAGTAAGAGCAAATGCAGAACTTGATTAAAGAGAACAGATGTTTGAAGAGTGTTTTCCTTTTTAATTTTTTAAATAGGCAAATTTAAGTTTCAATCACTCATGTTTTATTTGATAACTTTCCTGCTTGCTTAGTAATTACTAAATGGGATATAAAATCTTAAGAGATTATTACACGAATGTCAAATGACTTTTCAAATTAATGTTTTGAAGTCTTTATTTATTATTTTCAAATAATTGTGCTATGTTTTTTATGCATTTTGCAGCATTTAAACATGTTTTCTTTTTTTTCAGCTTCTTAATTAAATGAATTCAAGCGGGATTCATTTAGAGCTGCTTACCATGAAGATAAGCTATAACTGCTATTATCAGCCCACGATTGTTACATGTATTCAAGAATCTTTTGTTGGTTCATCTGTTTTTGTGATAATTTATATAGTATGCTGATAGATAAATGAATGCAGTTTTATGCAATGAATGCATAATTTAGAGAAATATAAACCTCTAATTGGAAAATTGCTAAAATGTTATGAATATGGTGTGCTCAAGATTTTAAATAAATTTCATTATAATGGGCTTCCGTTTAAGTCTTCCTTATTGAATTCAAAGGGTATCACCAAGATTTTTCACACAAAGTTTGTTATAAGATTTTGAGATGTGTTTTAGAGGTGAACAAAATAGCCTCAGTTTTTCAGCTACTATTGAGAGAAATACCATGGTGGAAACTATGATTTTCATGACTACATGCACCTTGCCCTCACTTTGCTTTGTAACAGAGTATGTATGTAGAGTCTCTAATCACCTTTGATATGCTAAGCCATTAACATAAAATTATATTCTACATATTTTCATCCTCAAATTCTTTTTCTCACTCAGCAGTATATGCAGTACATACGTTGCCAGTTCAACTCTCTCTACAACACGCTTATTTTTTGAAGTAGCAGCAGGAGGAAGGTATTATCCTGAATAATGCTTATGAAGCAGTACAGATGAGCATATTGGAACAGGAGTTACCGTAGTTGTCAGTTTTCTGTGTCCACACAGCTTTGTGAAAAGCTTATGTAGGAATTTGGAATGCCATTTAAAAATACCATTTTTGTAGCTGTTCACATCTCATATTATGTGAATTGCTCATAAACCTTTTGCATACACCGGCATAGTGTATTCTCAGTGACTCGGGAAACAAGAATCATTATGTGATACTCTACCTCAGTCCTGCTTCTTCTTTTCTTCCCTACTGGTATTTCTCCAAGTGATACTTTTCCAAGTACCAGTTCACTGTCAGTAGCAGTTGGAATCTCTTTGTTCATAAGAATACCTCAATATGAGGATAGGGTTGACTAGACTTTACAAAACTTACTTCATCTAATGCTTTTATCTGTTCCTTCTCCAAAAAAATACTGGTATTTTAAGAACTAGGAAACATTTTAGGAGAAGAGAAAACAGGAAGGACAGCTTATATGTTACACAAATGCAGAGCAAGACCACTGGTGTGGAAATGCTGGAAGGATGTAGAGCAGTATTCAAAATAGAAGCTGGGTAAAAACTGACAAACTCAAAACACCTGGTTCACAGACTGATGTGGACTGTCAAGGGGATTGCAGCTTGTACAGAGGTACTTTGGCTGTTAGCCAGGAAGGCAGATCAGACTGCCCATGATGCCAGTTGACTGGCATGTGCCAATGTGGGGAAGCTAGGACAGAATTTGCAAGAGGTTTAAGTCAGTGCTAGAAACCTGAGAAATGGATGGAAGAATTAAGTTGTGTGGTATTGAACAACAGCCCTATTATAACAGGCATTCAAAGCTTTGGTGGAAAAAAAAATAAAAAATCCATGGGACACTGTTACCAGACTACTGAGTTAAGGATGGCACAGCAGGATGGCACAGCAGGTGACAGAGTGGGGCCATATGGGAAAGATTACATAGAGTGCAACAGCATGGACCTCCTACAGGTAAAAAAGAAGCAGTAGGTTCCATGGTTGGAAGTCTGTATTTTAAAAAATAATTAGAACTCTGCTACTGACCTCTGATCAAGATGACAACGGCAGTCAGAAAGAGTAGAGAAACTGCAAGTTTCAGATATGCAGTAGTAGTGAGAGATCTCAAGACCTCATCCTAATGCAATTTAAGTATTTCATCTTGTAATGAGGTAAAGCGTTCCAATGACATGTGACTGCCTCCTGGAACAACTAGTAGATCTCAAATGATAGCCAAATCAGAAGCAGCAGCTTGAGTAGTGCATGGGTACTAGCATAAGAGGTATTCATGGGATGTCTATAACAGCAAACACAGTACAGTAGGGTAAATGCTGTTGTAAGACAGGACTCTCAAAGTGAAATCTGAAATAAAAACCACAACACTGCACACAGGTCAACAGTAAAATAACAGGTTTAAAAAAAAATTATCTGAAGATGATGCTCATAGTGGTTGCATGGTAGCACAGACTTCTTAAAATACACCAAAAGCAAGGGACCAGGGAGGGAACTAGTGAAAGAGTTGGTGAAAAGATTTAAGAGGCACCCACTGATAAAAAATGTGACAGAGGAGCCAAATTCTCTGTAGCAGCTGGGCCAGAAGACTTAGGTCAAAGTGGTCTAGCACATTCTATGTAATTGTTTTAAATAGGTAAGTTAGATGCTGGTAAGATCTCAGGACCAAATGGCATTTATCAAAGACCTCTGAAGGAAATCAGATGTGAGGTTGCAGAACTGCTGAGCAAGGTGCCTTCACCTATCGTTACAGATTGCCTCTGTATCAGAGGACTGACAGATTGCCAACACAGCTGTCATCTATAAAAAGGAGAGTCTAGAGGGAAGACTGAGCTACAGGCCAATGAGCAATTTCCAGTCCTGATGGGATGGTCAAGTCTGCAATAAAGAGAGCAAGGATAAACATAGTCATCTGAAAAAAGATGGAGGACTTGTATAATGCAGTATTTAAGTTTACAAAGCTTGTAGAAGGCTAAAATAGTGCCAGGAAAGCACAAGGATAAAAATCCTTTGGCAAGGATTTATTAAAGAACCTAATCTGGATTTGGGAGAGGTGTCCTTTTCATGACTTGAAAACCAATTAAAAGTTAGAAAGAGAAGAACAGGGCTTAATGGTCACTCTTTATGACAGGAAAGACAAAAATAGAACTTTCCTGAGGACTAGTGCTGTGACCACTTTAATACATCTTCCTTAGTGACGTGTAGAAAGTGCATGTGCAGTGCATCCTGCCCTACAGAGAAGCTCACGGTGCTGTGCTGATAGGGAGGAAAGTCATCTAAACTTTACAAAACTTGATGAATGGGTAAAAAGTTGGGAGGTGAACATCACGGCATCTAGAGAAAATAAATAATGCCTTGTTCGGCTAAAACTCAGGAAAGAGACAGTAGAGTCATAATTGAACAGATTTTAGCAGAATTGTCAGTGTGCACTGACAGCCAAAAAGATGTTTAGTACCGTGTACAAGATGGTACTAAATATTTAGTAGAAGATGTTTAGTAGAGAGTTTGGATAACAAGGCAGAGGACAACACTACAACTACACAAAATCTCCATGGATTCCTGTTGAGTGAGTGCTGCATATAGTTCTGATGTACACATCTCAAAGACAGAGCAGTTCAAGGTACTGGGAATTGGTCAGGGAGGTAGAATTCCCCCTCATGAAGGGACACTGAAAACACTGGAACTATTCAACTGGAAAAGAAAAAAAAATCCTGAGGAGTGAGTATGATTGTGGCTTACAAGTTTATAAACACTTTAGATGAGCTAAATACTAAACACTCACCAAATCCTACAGTACTAGAACAAACCTGCAGCTTATTTAAAAGGAAATACATCCTTATTACTTTTTCAGGAGGTTGAGGAGATAGACAATATTCAGCAGGTTCAGAATAGGATCAGAAAATTCGTGGCCACAGTTCCACAAGAAACTTTAAAGGTGATACAGTTTACCATGCAGTAATTCTGGATGCTGGAGAGAGTATGAGGTAAATAGACCACATTCTCTCTAACTACTATCTCCAGTCAGCCAGAACACTGAGCTAGATGGCCTTTTGGTCTAACCTCCTCTGGCATTTTGTAAGCTCATTAAGAACTGTGAAGGAGGAGGGAGGTGACATTAAGGAGAGCTGTATGATCCACTGCAACTTTTATTTTCTTGACAGCACAAATAAGCAGGCCTGGAAAGCACCAGCAAACAAGGAGAAGGCAAACACAGGTATTGGCAGAGCTCAGGAGGATAAGAAGGATTTCAAAAGACCCCAATCCCAAGGCATGTGGTTAGGCAAACCCTGTAGGTAAAAAAGTACAAAAATTAGCAGAACACTAATACATACAGTAGTGTATTTAGATCTCAAGTGCTGAGTGACAAGAATACATGCAATCACATTTTAAAATATATAGAGAAATGTGTCATTAAAATTCAAGGCATTTTCACCACGTGATGGATCAAAAATCTTGGGATCTTCTTTTGATGCAAATGCACAACATGTAATGAAGTGAATGCTATTTGTCATAAGTTAGAAGTCTTTCATTCCTGTTGCATTTGTAAGGAGTAGATAGCGCAGTTCCTGTCGTATTTTATAAGTGATCGCTTCCAGTGCTATGAATTTATCACCCTAACTATAGCCTTCATGGTAGTATAGGGACAGGTTGGAGTTTGATTTAAAGAATGAACCAAAGCAGAGAGAAACACACAGCTGTAGGCAAAAAGAACTTCAAGTCTACAAACAGCAGGCAACACAGAATCCTCCATTTTTTTTGTGCTTGCTCTGCTGCATGCTACCTGGCACATATGCTTCCTCCCACCCTCAGGTTTAGATGTTTCTCTACAGACCTTAGCAAGCATCTTCAAAAGCATTAGCTCCATTTTCTTTCTTCCTTGTGTACCAGCAGCTTCTTATTTGTGTCCTTTTTCAGTATCAAAGGCCTCAGAGTTTTTACACAAATCCCTCTATTTTTGAGGAAACCTTGTATGTTTGTTTTGCTCTACTTTGTTAGTTCTTTAATTAGATGTTTATATAATTGGAATAACATGTGTTGTCATTAAAGGGACCATTTCTATGAAAATTAAATAAACCTGAAGGTGGACATAAGTAAGGAGAATCTCTTAAAAGTACCCAGATTCCAAATGAGCAGAAGTGTGGTACTGAAAAGCTTGATGGCATTTTTCACTAGTTCATGTTTGCAGCAGTGGACACCCACAAACTTGTAATAAAAGAAATCCATACTTGAGGATCTAAGCATAGAGATTTACAGGAGCAAAACCATGCAACTGAAGTTGAAAAGAAAGTGTAAAAAAAAAGTAATCATCCTTGTCTTTCGAATTAAATTTAACTCCACATTCTCTTCAGAACAACCAAATAAAACTTTCTCCATACTGATGTTAAGTGACATTTAGAAGGTTCAGTGTCCTATTACGGACCCGGAACAGACCTCCGCATAATTGCAGGTGTCTGGTCAGGATCTCATCATTAAAAGATTTAAGATGTCCTCAGACCAAGTTAGAAACTCTTGTAGTTATGTTTCCAATTCTTTGTAATACGTGAACAACTGAGTATGATTTTGCTCTCTATGTTTGGTAGTACTGA